CGGCTCAGAAGGCCAGGCTATCTGCTGTCACAGAGTCCAGCCTAGGAAACCCCCAGGGGCAGTTCTACTGTGTCCCATGGGGTCGCTATGGCCTGACTGCCATCGGGCAACACTAGTGTCTGAGGTCCCAACATGGATCAGAGAGGGCTGTTGAGGAGACTGCATGCATCTTGTTTCATATGTTCTTGTCACCATCCTTGGGGGGGGGGGGGCACTCTCGGGAACCCTGTTCTGAAGAGGTGTGTCGTGCGTTGAATGTAGTGGGACACAGAGACATCCTCAGAAGCAGATGGCCCCTGCCTGTGCATGTGACCTCATTTGGAACAAGGGTCATTGCTGCTGCGATCCAGTGAGGGCATCTCCATGGGGGACCATCTGAGATTCTCCAGGTGACGCCCCCCCTCAGTCCTTAGGGAGAGTCTCCCAACCTGACCTGCCATGTGGTGGGTGTGCAGGCTACCTCACGGTCTCCCACGCTACTTACTAAGTAGGACATCATATACCTGCAATTTACAATTGAGGAAACGAAGGTGCGGAGAAGTCATGGCGGGTGCGTGTATGTGTGCACGTGTGTGTCCATGGGCACCCCTGAGAAAGCTAATGGGAAGTGAAAGCTGTCACGCACAGAGGGCCAAGCGTTGTCTGATTCTGCTTACCTCCGCGATCCAGAGGAGGTAAGTCCATAGAACCAGAGAGCCACTAACAAGGTGGCTGCCAGCAGCTGGGGTGGGGGAGATGGAGAATGACCACTTCTTGGGGTGGGGGGGTTGGGGAATCTCCTTTTTGGGTGAGGAAAGGTTTTCTGACTAGATAGGGGTGTCGTTGCTCAGCATCAAGACTATACCAAATGCTCCGCATTCAACCGTATATTTAAAAACGGTGAATGTTGTGTGCTGTTATCTTCGCCTCAATAAAGGAGAGAAAGGCCCATTACAGAAGAGTGAGGCGGGAGCCCTGTTGTGGTTGGTTAGTCCCCTGAAGGAGAGAGCCCCTTCTCCCCATCCTGCTACCGTGCCCAGAACCTTCTATGCCAGACTTCCCCAAGCGTCCCTGAATCTTGGCACCCTGTAGGTCCCTGAAGGTCCCCGGGGAAGCACACAGGATACAAGCTTGCATATAAACCCTGGGAGACGCAGCTCAATGGCTTCCAAACTCCGGTCCCCAGGCCCGCTGCCTCAGAATCCTATGCGGGTCCATGAACTGTTGTTGACTCAGCCTTCCGGTCAGCTCATGGAGACCCACACACACAACCAAAGGACACGCTGCCTGGTCCTGCATCACCCCCATAATCAATTGTAGACCCGGCCCATGGGGGTTTCGCTGAAGTAGATCACCAGGCTTTTCTTCCTAGTCTCAAAGCTCCACTGAAAACTGTGTGCATCGCGGCAGCGGGCAAGCCTCCCCCGACAGACGGGCAGTAGTTGTGCATGGGGGAAAGGTGGCTGGGAAGCAAATGCAGGTCTCCCTCACAGAAGACGAGAATTCAGCCACGGAACCAGCCCTGTCCCCACTCCGGAGTCACCCAGACCCCACTGCCTGCCTCAGGAGGTCTGGGATGTGGTCCCCACTCTCCCCCTTCCACGTCCCCCTGGTGAACTGAATACAGGAGGCACTTGCAAGCTTCGGGCTGTGGCTCCTAAACTAGGTCCCATGACTCAGTCACCTATAAGTGGTCACATACTCAGGGACAGCTGCCAGGTCTATACTCCGAGAGGCCAGGGGCCAGGAGCGGAAGGGGCCTTTGCCTTTCCTGCCTACCGAGTGGACTCGGTGCAGAGGAGGCCTGATGGGAAGAGCGGGGAGGGCAAGGTCAAGTGTCATCTTGCGTCCAGCCAGCTGCCTTCCACCTGGACTTTTCCACTGAGAACTTTCCCTCTGCCCAGGAAAACCATCGTCAAACCAGCAGCGACAGAAGCAGCTGCTCTCCGGCCCAGGAAGAACGATTCCAGCCAAGAGTTCGCTTTCTTTTAAAAAGGGGGGGAAAAAATCCAAGTCCAAAAGAGGCCACAGGAGGTGCTGGGCTGGCCAGGGGTGGTGGCCGAGAGCCCCAGAAGGCCGGCTCGGGCGGCTGAGTCCTGCCTGCCAGGGGCCAAGCCCCGAGAAGCCCTTGGAGAGCCGTGAGCCGCTGCAGCAGGCCTGGCAAGGGCAGGACATCATTTGTTGACTCTTGAGGCCAGTCCCTAGCTCATGGTTTCCTCCCTGGTTACCATGGCCCCGTACCGAAAACACAGCAAACTCCTGGCCCCAGGCAGCTCATTTATTTCAAATATTCCTTGCAGCTGGAATCCAACCATGTTTGGGTGTCTGGACTGGAGCATGAACTAATTGCTCTGTCTTCGGCCCCCTCCCCGGCTCCCCCGGCATAGTTTATGGTTCAGTAAAGTCCGCATTCCTCACCTCACGGAGGAGCGGGAGGGAGGACATGTGCAGGAGATGGACGGAGGCGGGAGGCCGCTCCCCAGCCACAGCCAAGGCCCAGGAACGGCTACCTGCTTGCAGACAGGATGGTAATTGCAACCACATGGGCCCAGTCTGTACAGCTGCTTTGATTCACGCCGCTCCCATTCCACACCGAACCCCGCTCCCCAGAAGTCTCCCGCCAGCACAAAGACCCTTATTTTCCCTGAGCGCCCCTCCCCCACCGCCTGACCCCACTCCTCTCTCTGCCAGCCCATTCAAAGGAAAGTAACTGCAACCCAGACATGAACTCCCAGCGCTAATTTTAGACCGCTCCTTCCCCCCACTGCCAGCCTGGGTGTGTCTGAGAGGGCACCTGAGGGTCCCTCCTCTCCATGCCTACCTTGACTTCAGGGAGGAGGCCTTCCATCGGGAAGAACGAGCATCCCATTAGAAGCGCTGGGTCCGCCTTCAAAATCAACCTTCCCATCCAGGGAATTCGCCGTTTTCCAGAACAGAAGTGTGTGACTTTGTGCCTGTGGCTTCACCAATCTGCGGGGCCCTGTTCTAGAAGCCTCATCTGTAGGGGTTCGAGGAAGAGCTGACAGGCAAGAAGCTCTGACCTTTAAGCTCTTAGCCAAGGTCACCCAGGAGGTTTGGGGGAAATGCAGATTCCTGGCCCGGCCCCAGACATGTTGGTTCAGGCCATCTTGAGCAAAGCCCTGTGGGCTGCATTTTATTTTGATGTTGAGATGGGTCGCCTCAAGGAATGTGATGGAGGGCTCTCGGAGCTGGGGACACAGGACCTCGATCCAGGTGGCCTTGGACCCTCAGGTCAGGGCATTTTCCGCAGTGATGTCTGCTCGTGACCTGTCTTTATTGTGACAGCGACCGAAGGAAGCACTACCAGTCGGTCCTGTGCCATCATCACAAGGGGTGCTTTGTTTGAAATGGCGTCAATCTTTACTCAGTGACCCGCTACCAAGCACGACGCCCTTCTCCAGAGACTGGCATAAGACGTCTTACCATCCTGTCTTCCAGCTGCACTTCTGGGAGACAGACTGCTTCTTCTTCTGGCGGCCCGTGGTTTATTCAGTATTCTTCCGAACAACATAACCCAAATGCACCAATTCTTCTTCAGCCATCTTTATTCATGACCCAGCGTCCCCCAGGCAGGTGAGGCAAGGAAAAATACCACGGTTTAGTCCAGGGGCACCTTAGTCCTCAAAGGGTGGCGTCTTTGTGTTTGGCCATGTTAAAGAGGTCTTTCCCAGCAGGCTGGCTCAATGCAATGCCTTGTTTGAGTTCTCGACAGTGGCGTCCCTGGGCATCAATGGTGGATCCAAGTACTGTCTTTAGAATTAAGAACACCCTGGCCCATTTTTCAGGAGCCAGTCACTGACGCGCAATCGCATCTAGTAAATTCCTGTCCTGTTTACTCTATCTGGGGCTTCACTTCTCCTCCAGCTACCCCAGAACTTCCTGTCCTCTCTGCTGGCGGGGGCCTCCTCAGAGGCTGCAGGGGGCTCACTCCGAAAGAGGCTCAGGGAGCCTCAGTGTGCGCTCTGCACTGGGGACCCCTGACAAGTCCTGGAGCCCAACACTGAGGGCACCCACACTAGGCTCATCCTCTGTGGGTGCAGGGTTGCACCGGCTCCCTTTGACTGGGCTGCCTGGTAGCTCAGCCAATGAAAAGGGAGGGGACATGGGCATGCTAGAGTCCTTGCTGCAGGGATCTCCTCCTCTGGCCGGGGCCCCACCCTTTGCAAGGGGTAGTGAGGTCACTTCACCAACTGAAAGCCAAGGACCCGGCCAGGGTCTCTTAGTTTCTTGTGATAAGTCCATTCTGGCTCAGCAACCCCAGGTGACAGGGTAGAATTGGCCCATAGGGCTTCAAGCCCACAAGCTGCTGGGTGGGAGAAAGGTGGGGCCATCTGCTCCCATCAGGATTTGCGACCTTGGAAATTCTATCCAGGGCTGGTCTGCATCAGAATCTTGGTCTCTGGGGTACCCTTTACAGGAGTAGATTGCAGCCACTGAGTGGCTTTGAACCGGCAACCTTTGGGCTAGCAGCCGATTGCTTAACCATTGTGCCGCCAGGGCTCCTTAACCCCTCAGTGCTCCTCTGCCTGCCAGGAGCACACCCCCCCGGGTGGCTCTGATAAGCAGGGCTCTCTTCCTGCAGCGTGGTAAGCAGAAGTCAATTCAGGCTGCCAGCTCTAAGGGCAGGCTTCTCTCACCGATTCTGGGGGAAGGTTCTGGTCAATTTCTAGCTTCGGTCTCAAACGTCCTTGGAGATCCCCACCTGGCCTCTACCTTTACCCACCTGCGTCCCCTTCTGGGCCATATTCACTCTGCTTAGAGCTAAAAAAAAAGATTTGACATCACACCTGATACTAAGGGCTGGCCTCGTTAACATAACAAAGACAATCCCATTCCCAACTAGGGCTCCATCCATGGTGCAGGGGTGAGGATTGCAACATGTTGTTGTTGTTTTATTTGGGGGCGGGGCGCGGTATGGTGGGATGGGCACAATTCTACCCACAACAAGGGTCAAGCCCTTTTCCCCTCCCCTAAGGCACAAAGGAGGAGCCCAAAAGTGGTTTTGTTTTCATCAATGTTCTTTTATTAGGTTACCGAGTATTATCATGGTCATAAAATAGTTTAAAAACTGTGTAAGCCACAAGGCTTGGGGTTGACAGGAAAGGGGAGGGGGCTGGGGAGCGGTCGGCTCAGGGAGGTGACTAAGAACCATCATTCCCCGCTGCCAGGAGAGGCCTGGGTCAGGGCCATAGCTGGGCCGTGTACTAGTTAAATCCCTGGCGGGCAGCCTGGGTCAGGACAGGACAATCTTTACAAGTCCGACAGGTAAGGTCTCCCGCCTCATGGAGGGAAAGAGGAGGATGGAGGGTGACCTCAAAATAATAAGGGGCTGGTTTACATCTCTCACCCCGTCTTGGCACCAATTCTGTGCTTTTAAAAAATATACTCCACGGGAAGAGCTTTTTCTTCTTTATAAAAGGTATGCTACAGCAGCTGTTGATCAAGAACTCTTACAGACATATACACGTGTGTGTGTGCATTAAACCTTGGAAACAAGTAAAGTCATCTATTGTACCTGGACAGAGGTGAACGGAAGCCAGAGCCCAGGAGGGGAGAAATGGGCACAGGGAGGTGGCCTGCTACACTGGGGGAGGAGGGTATGGCTGACCCTGCCCCCTTTCCCTTTCCCGCAGAGGCTCCAAGTGGGGCTGTGAAGGTGGGACAGGATGCATGGCTCGACTCTGCTCCAGGTCACATTTGTTATATCCCAGACTCTTGTTCACAGAGAGCTACTGTCCCTCCTTGGTGTCGCTCTGGGGAGGCGAGAGGCCCTGAGAATGCACCTGGGGAATTCCAGCGAGACCAGCACAACCCAAACCCAAGCTCTCACAGGAGGGGTGAGAAGTACAGCCCTGGGCGAAGAGGTCTGAGCCCTACAGGTTCCCTAAGACACTCATATTGCACTCGGGGCCGGTGTTCCCTGTGGGGCACCCTTGGGAGCCCAGGGCTGAGCCTCCCGGAAACTGCAGGTTTGAGAACCCAGGTGAATACACTTTGCACCCATCTGCACGCTTGGCCCAGATGCAGCCCTGGGAGGACAGGTGAGGCATACGCACCCCAGGGAGGGGGAAGGTGGCAGAGGCAACCGAATACTCCAGAAGGGACTGAGACAGGCTTCCTTTCTCAGTGGAAGAAATAAATGGCTGTTGTTACTGGTAAAGAATAAATACAGGGCTGGGCGCTTAGTTGCCTGCATGAGGTCCAATTCGGGTTCCTGCCTCGGCATGGGTCATGGTGGATTTATGCCATCCTGAGCTTCACCAGCCTTGGCCGGACTGGGCACTGCTAGCCTATTCTGAAGCACCTCTTCAGCTCTCCGGGGCTCTGCCTGGGCTCCCCCCACTGGCCCCGTCGCCCCAGCACCCCCAAATGGCTGCAGCTTTCTCCCAGGTGTTGGGGGAAGGCCACCCCAACTCACCCAGAGTGCAGATTAGAGCCCAATGTAGGACTGTATAAGTTTATTCGGTCTTGTTTGTTTTTCAGGGGGAGGGGCATATGGCATGCAGGGTGGCTGCCTGGGGCCACCATCCAGAAGGGGGCCAAGGAGACTGCCGGGATCTGTCTGTCTGGCAGAGGGAGACGGGAAGGGTCGGATGGGAGGAGCCAGTCCTCTGCCAGTGACCGTGGACACCGATTCCAGGACCCAGAGTGGCGGGCAGCCTAGTGAGGTGGCACCAGGTGTCTGTGGAGGGGAGGCTGCGGGCACATCACTGGTACAGGAGGTAGGCCCTGAGCGCGGCGGGCAGCGGCAGTGCGTGGATCTCCCCGAGGCGGTGCTTCCCCAGGGCCAGGCGCACCGAGCGGCGGCAGAGATCCATGAGCGGCAGGGGCTCGGCTGGGGAAACGGAGGTGAGAGAGAGAGAGAGAGAGAATGCCAGGTCAGCGGAGCGCTCGGAACAGACAGGGCCCTTCACAGTAAGAGCAGCAACAACGTGGGAATCCACTCTAGGCCAGGCAGTGCTCACTGGACCCACCCCAAGGGTCCTTTACCACTGTCCCTATTTTATAGCTGGGCAACTGAAGGGCAAAACCAGCTACCACCGCGAGTTGGCTCCGCTTCACAGTGGCCCCGTGAGCGTCGGGACAGGGCCGTGCTCCACGTTTCTCAGCGGCTGCTTTCTCAGGAGTAGATGTCAGGCCTTTCTTCCAAGGTGCGCCTCGGGGTGGTCTCAGCCCTCTAGTCTTCTGGTATGTACCACCAGGCTAGAGACACCCAAGCCTTTTCCAGGGGAGCCTGCTGCTGGAAGACCCCTGCCTCTCCCTCCATATCCGAGAGCCGGGGCACCCGAAGCCAGGTCTCCCCGGCCATACGCAGGCTTTCAGAAAGGGCATCATTTAGTGTTCCCCTCACCCTCAGCTTTGGACCCTGAGTTTGGAGGTCTGGCCCCAGCACCTGAGCTCTGAGCCACCATCACCATGCTGAGAATTAAGCCATCAGGAACGCTCACCTAGTGTCCCTGTGACAGGTGGCAGGGCCGAGGGGAGAGCCCAGGCTGGTTAGATCCCACGGCCTTGGGGGATACAGTGTAGGCTGAGCTGGAGGAACCTTGCACCTGAGCTGTTGTGCCCCACAGAGCTACCTTAAGACCCGAGGCCCATGGGAACTGGAAATGCCAGCCTGGTCACATCCCAGGCCACGTCCGCAGCTGCCTAGGGATTTGGGACTTATAGCATTCAGTGGCTTCCGGCTGTAGCCTGTAGACTCAGCCCGGTCACAGAAATCTGGGGCCTACTTCCTCCTGGTCCCTGGTCCCCTCTGGGCTCCGCCCAGATGCTGTCCCTGCACTGCTTCCAAGTCCACCCTCAGCTGCTCTCCCCACCAGCCTAGGGGAGCATTCCCAGGGCCTGGCCACTTTATAGACCTCTGGATAAAATGAGCTTAAATGGAGGGGCGTGTGGCTGTACCCAGTGGCTCTTCCTGACTTTGAGATGCCTTTGTGAACAAGGAAAGCCCCAGCATTCTCCTTCATATCCCCTGTCACCAGTGAAGTACCGAGACAAACTCTTACTATTCACCAAAGCTCAGAAGACTGAAAATCACTCCACCAAGGTCAACTCCTAGTCTGGGGTTGGGGTGGGGGTCTGAAGGGGTCATGGGGAGTGACTGCTCATGATAAGAGAGCTTCTTTAGGGGGCGGTGACAAGATTCTGGAATTGACCGTGGGGCTGCCTGTACGGTTCTGGGAATATACTGGAACCTGCTGACCAGTACACCACCAACAGGTGGATTGTACGGCATGAGAGTTAGGCTGGTCTGGTGAGGCACTGATGCAAGTCCAGGTTTTAAAGGTACACAACTGCTCGTCGTCTCCCCGTGAGCAGGCCTCTGAAGGGCAATTGCTTTCAGCTGAAAGATTTGAAACAGCTTTTCCTGGACCACTTAGGGTGATGGACCCGAATGACCTCCCCAAAGCTTTAGGGCCAAGGACCCAAAAAGTCCTCGTTAAGTAGGGTCTGGCCTCCCTCTATAACCCCTCCCTACAGAGAGCGCCTTGGGCCTCCCGCCATGAAACCCATCCTGCCCCATGGCTCCCCCACGAGACTCTACACCCCAGTGGAGTCACCTGGCCTGTAACACTGCTGTTGGGGGGCTGTGCTAAATTCAAGGACCAGTGTCCTTCTAAGAAGGGGGGGACAGAGAGACAGAGAATGCAGCCACATGATGATGGGTGCCGAGACCGGGGAGCTGCAGCTGAAAAGTCAGGCCACCAGGAGCCGGAAGAGCCCAAGAGGAAGCTTGCCCCAGCAGCACCTGCGGAGCGAGGGCGGCCTGCCCACTCCTGGTCTCAGGAGCTCATCTCCAGACCCGTGAGAAAACACCGTTCTCTCAGGGCATTGTCGTCCTAAGCCAACGGGCTGAAATGGTCGCAAGCCATCCAGTGTGTGGTCACGCGTGGCAACAGCGAGGGGCAAAGGAATGTGTGCACCGGGCCGTCGCGTCACTCACGCTGACCGGGGTGGAGGTGGGGTGGGGGCGTGAGCAGACACAGCTGCGCCCCAGAGGCTTTCCAAGCCTGTGACCTTCCCAGCCTACCTCAAGCCACACCGAACTCATGGCCATCGAGTTGATTCCAACTCCAGAGAGCCTACGGGACAGGGTAGAACTGCCCCTGTGGCTGTCCAGGGCTGTCCATGGGGCTGAAGAGCTGCTGATGGGGTCGAACTGCGGACATGTCGGGATAGCAGCCAGACACGTAACCCACTGTGGACCCTGTGGGCCAGGGCCCTTGAGGGGCCCCTGGGTACGTTGAAATCAACCTTCCAGTCAGCAGTTGAGCACTTAACCCTTTGTGCCACCCAGGGATGCCAAAGGAATCGAACACTCTCCCCAAATCCACCCAGCTGAGATCTTGCATGCTGGGAACCCCTGGTAAAAGCCCCTTAGCCTGGACTGCTGATTCCACTCAGGTGCTCCCCCAGGGCCTGAGCTGCCCCAGCCCCGCCTGGAGTGAAGGGCTTCCCCAGGTGGCTGAGTAGCACGTGAGCCATCTCAAGGGCCCCGCCAGGAGTTCCCATCACCGCCCTCTTGGCTTCATGGGTTTCAGGTCAAGTCATGAGCACCCTCACCAGGAAATCTTTCTCAACAGCAGAGGCCCGGGTGGGTCCCCAGCTCCAGGGTGCTTATCACAGGTGGCGAACATCCCAGGAGCCCGGGCGACACCCTAGCTAAGCACCTGGCGGTTGACTAGAAAAGTCTGCGGTTCAAACCCACCAGTGCTTCTAGGGCAAAAGAGGTGGTCGTCGGCCGTGGTGACGATTAAAAGCACCCCCATCCTCTGTCTCTAGGTTCATCCTGACTCGGCACCACCCGGGAGGGCATCTGGTTTCCTGGGCAGTACAGCTTTAGGAGAGCAGCTGCGGTATCTTTCCCTCGTGGATTGGCAGCTGGTTCAAACAGCCAAGCTCCCGGGAAGTGGTTGAGTGCTTCATCACTGAGCCACCAGGGCTTCCGCTGTAAAAAGGCTGACTGCTTCTCAAAGGTGGGGCCCAGACAGTGCTCTAACTGGCTGAGGACACGTCACAGCAGCAGCTATGACACCCCACTGCTGGGGCTGCCAACAGGACCCAATGCCCTTGTCAGGGGACAGCAGGCTTTGTACCCAGCTCTATCCACAAACCCAGGAAATCTCACTTCTAGAAAGTCCCTAGCCAGTGAGGGCGGGGTTTTCCCCAATCGTGCCTTTCCCGCAGAGGTGTGAGCCGACAGCCCTCTTCAACTTGACTGCCACTAAGTGAGCCTATAGGTAGCCCAGGTGCTGGATCATTTACATGATTTATATGAAGGAGAAGGGGGGATGCTTGGACATTGGGGAGTATAATGGGGGCTACCACAGGGCAGAAGCTGAAGGACTTGAGCAGGGCACAGCCCTCCAACTGGGATTTCAGCCCAATGCAAGCCTCAAGAGAGCCTGGGGACTGGCTTAGAACGAACTAAGGATCCAAGTCTCCGGTTGGGTAATGACCTGGATTCAGTGCCTCACCACACACTCCCTGAGAGGGAGCCTATCTTCTACACATGCAGTGGCGGCCTTTCTGGATATGCATGCGTGTGTCCTTGACCTTGTGCAGTTCTTAGAAAGAGGAGTCCTGGGGTGGTGCAAATTATGATTAACTCGATTGCTAACTGGCAGAAGGTGGAAGGTTCGACACCACCTCGAGGTACTCTGGAAGAAAGGCCTGCCACCCCCTTCTGCAGAACCGGCCACTGAAAACCCTGCAGAGCACAGTTCTACTCTGACACACACGGGGGCGCCATGTGTTGGGGTCAACTTGATGTCAACTGGTATTGACACAAACGAAGAACAAAACTTAGCAGCAACCCCTTGTCCTTGCCAACTAGAGAGGAGTCTGGCACCTGCCTGGGTAATGCATCCCTTCTGGGCCATCCCCCAATCGAAGTGCCAGCTGGCCTCACATGACCAGGCTTTCTGTGGCAGCATCTGGAACAATCCTCTTCTCCCCATGGTCTCCGGGCCCGAAGGAAGACCTGGAGGGGTGGGGTCGTTAGTCTGCCCTCTGAAGTGCCCCATTAGCCCAGTTGCAACGGCAGAGCAGGCAGGAGCCACTGTCAGGGTGAGGTCCCAGGAGGACATCTTGGGATGCCAGTAGGAGCCACGAAGTGGGAAAGTTCGCTGGGAAGAGCGGAGCCACTCCAACCCTGCAGCCACTAGGAACTACCGCAGGCAGACTCATCTGGGAGTTGTATGGGGGGTGGGGGGACTTCAGAATGGCAGTGCTTGGTGGGAAGGGCAGAGCCACAGGCCAGAGGGCTCCCTTGGTGAGTGGGTGTTGAGTGGCACCGAATTGACTCAGAGCAGTCCTGCAGGGCAGAGTGGTCCCACAGGGCTTCCCAGGCTGTCATCTCTGGGGAAGCAGTTCACCAGGTCTTTCTCCTGCTGACGGGCTGGCGGGTTCAAACCGCCAACCTCTTGGTTCGCAGGGAAGCACTTAACTATTGCTGTTCTGCTTCCCAGCGGGCCTTTCCTCTCTGAAGGCCCAAGGAGCATGGTGGCCAGGGCCAAGCTGGCATGCCTGCTCACTCTCCAATCCAATGCCATCTCCACTCCTCCATCCCCACGAGAGACAGAGAGAGAGACAGAGAGAGAGAGAGAGCGCTCAGTGACACGGGGAAGCCAAGGCCGTTTCAGCAGACCCACTGCACACAAAAAACAGGCTCTCAGTGAGTGGCAGTGGAGGATGGTCCTGACCTGGTTCTTCCAACTGATGGGAGCAGCTAGGCAGGGCAGTGGGATTTCCAAAGAAATCCAGGTAAGAGCTGGCACCTGCCTGACTGCCCTGGAGGCTTTCTCCTCCAGTAGGTTCTCAAGATGGAAAGGAAGGGAGGAAGAGGGAGCTAGTTAGGGTGAAAGGAGGGGATAGGAGGAGAGCAGGTTCTGAAATCCCAAGCCACAGGGAGTCTGTGTGGGGGGAGCGCTCCCCTCCTGCTCACTGACCTTCAGGGCAGGGTGGGGTGTCTGTGCTGGGGAAGGGACCCAGGCAGGCTCTGGCTCCTGGCTAGAGTGAGCGGGAGCAGGCAGTGCCAGAACACTGGGACCTCCTACCACCTTGGGCATTCAGCCAGGGGCTGAGGGAACTGGGGGTGGGGAGGGGCTCCCCAGCCAGGGCAGCCACACCCCTTCCCATAGAACACTCGGAGGCTGCTGAGATGCCACCTGTTCCTGACACGTGCTCCTCCCCAGTCCCAGGAGTCCCCTGGGAGCCTCCAGCACCTGGAGGAAGTCCCTCAACCTGGCAGGTGAGTCAGAAACTCATTCACTTTGATTCTGTGAAGGAGGGCCCCGGACCCCAGGCCCATAAAGGTGCAGGTCCCTGTGCAAGCATTCGGTCAGCTGCAGACCACACCTGGAGGCAGGTCATACAGAAGTCAACAAGGTCTATCAAGGACCCTTCATTCACAAGCTGGCTCCCTCATTCACTCCTCCCTCCCTCCCTCCCTCCCTCCTTCAGCAGTACTGAGAGGGAATTGGGCAGATTCTTGAACCTGGAAGCAGGCAAGAGTGGCCTTGAGAGTCTGGGCACAGGGGGCTCTCCCGGCTTAAAGCCATTTCCATTTCCGTGCCTGTGTGCACGTGTGCCTGGCTGAGAGCTGAGGGACGTAGGAGGGACGCAGGAGGGCCACCCCACCCCATCCGCAGCCGCACAGGAGACACTTACGATCCAGCCCGTTCAAGTAGCGCATGCGGATCTCACAGTGGCCCCAGACGGCACTCACTACGGGATAGAGTTTTTTGCCCTTGAGTCCCCGGAAGGCCACGCCCATGTACTGTCCATCCACAATGAAGCTCAGAGTCCCGTCGTCCATGTCCAGGGCCACCAGGAAGGAGTCAGGCACGATGAAGGTCTCGTCGGCCTCCAGGAAGGCAGGGTACGTCTTGCTCGGCTGGTTCTTGCCGTCGTGGTAGAGCCGGTTGCGCCCCAAGTCCCAGCCCCAGGACTCGTGGTTGTTCCCCACGAGCGTCGTGTACCCGACGGAGTGCAGCGGGGCGTCGGCCGTGGCCACGCCCACCACAGCGTGCGTGCCCCGCTGCCGCATGGCCCACGTGATCTGCCACACGTGCAGCCCCCGCGTGTAGCCCACCTTGCCCCGGATGGCGTCCGTGCTCTGGGCCACGGGGTGGCGGTGGAAGAGGAGCTTGTCGTCCTCCTTGACGAAGACGTTGAGCGAGCGGTCGTCGTTGTTCCAGGAGTGCCGCAGCTGCACGTCGTAGGGTGCCGGGGGCATGTCCAGCAGCAGCTCCAGGCGGGTGGGCTGGCAGTAGTCCAGGCCCTGCAGCTCCTGCTTCAGCGGCCGGTAGGTGGGGTCCCGCATGTCCACTGTTTTGATGCCCCCGGTGACCTTCTGACCCATGCTTGCCTCTCGCTTTCACCTTCCCGCAGGCGGCCCGGGCCAGCACATCAATCCCAGGGTCTGCCGTCCAGCTTGCCGATCAGGCTGGGGCCCGGTTCCCCCCCGGAAGGTTGCTAGGAGACGCCTCGAGTTGTGGAGCACCCCAGGCTGCCTAATGGACGGAAAGAAAAACAGGAGGCGGGTGAGCAGGGCACGGCAGGAAGGGGCAAGGGAACTGCGAGCACAAGCTACAGCCGCCGGGGTGCGGGGCTCCCCGAAACACCTGACCCAGCGTCAGGGGCCGCCTAAGCTGGGGCGACATTCTCCCTCTGCCCCCGGGGCTCCGCCACCTGCCAGCGTCTGTGGGGAGCCAGGCTGAGCCCTCCTCCATGGAGGTGAACAGTCTGAGGCCAGGGCTCCTGGGGTCAGGGTAGAGCCCAGATGGGCACAAACCCCGAGAGGAACCTCGTCCTTGGTCCAAACAAGAAATGGGCTTTCCCGACTTGCTGCTGAGGGGTTCAAAGGAGAAAGGTGTGGCACACCCCTCCCCATGTGTGTCAGAGTAGCTGGCACTCCATTGGGTTTTTGGAATCAGTTCACCAGGCCTTTCTTCCAAGGTAGCCCAGGTGATTCAAACCTCGAACCTTTCAGTCAGCACCCAAGCATGTAACTGTTGCACCCCTCAGACACTTCTCGGTGAGCCGCCCCACAGTAGCCGGGTAGGAACCCTAACCGCACCCCGTCCTGCAGACACACTCCCTGGTTCAGGCTGGAGAAGGAAACCTGGTGCAGGCAGGAAGCTCGGCTTGGGGAGTCTGCATGCGCCCTCGGCTAGGGAGGGCCAGGAGCCTCCCAGGTCAGGGGGTTGCAGCAGCCCCTGAGCACAAGTCCCGTCCCCTCTGAACTGGGCTCACCTGGGCACTTCTGCAGACCCCCATGTGGACCAGATGCTCTTGGTGTCCACCCCCACCCCTACCCACCCAGACTTCGTCTGGGGGCACTTTTCAGCTGCGGAGGAAGTTGGACTCGGGACCGTGCCCCTCTGCTCTGGCTTCCCCATCCCTGGGCTGCCTGAAGGAGCAGGGGAGGCAGGCTGGAGGTGAGACCTCACTGTGTCAATGTCCTGCCCTCTCCCTGTGGCATCCTCGGGAAGAGTTCTAGCCCCAGATGGAGCCCTTCAAAAGACCCGTTACTGTGGAGCGGATTCTGACTCGCAGCAACCCTACGGCGACCCTAAAAGACGGAGGAGAATTGTCCCCTTGGGTTTCTAAGGCTGTGATGGTTCTGGAAGGAGCCGTGGTAACACAGTGGGTAGGGGCTTGGCCTGCAAAGAGAAAGGCCAGCCGTTTGAACGCACTAGAGAACGATGAGGCCGTTCGTGTCTGTAATAGCAGCCATGGGAACTATATAGTACAATTCTTCTCTGTCCCGTCTGGTCACTGTGAGTTGGAATCGGCTCAATGACGATGGGTTTGGGTTTCATCTTTATAGATGCTCACGGCCACATCTTTCTCCTGAGGATCCGCGGGTGGGTCCTAACTGCTGACTCTTGGGTTAGTAACCAAGGGCGTCTTCACTGCTCCGCCAGGGCTCCTTGAGGAGCTGGAGGAGGGTGAGGCTTGGGGACTGACAGGGCCGGTACCCCCTGCTGACCTACAGGAGGCCTGCAGTCTTGGATAAGGAGGCTTGATGCTGCCTGGGTTTCCAAGCCGCACTCCAGAGCCAAGGTACTTCCTGCCATCTAGCACCTCCTGGGTCTGGGATGCAGGTCTTGGCTGCCCAATTTGGAGGACAGACTCTGAGGAACCACTGTACACAGAACAAGCACAGGATAAGAGTGCTGGCTGCAGGAACTGCATCCCCGGCTCTCCAACGCAGGGCCACTCGGGTGCTGAGGGAGTGAGGCGGCGAGCATTCTGGGGGACCAGGGTCCAGGTGTCCTGCAGGCTCATTACTGAGCTAGCCCACTGTCCCTCCAGCCTGTAAGGACCTGGCTGCCCCACAGCAGCAAAGACAGGGTGCCTGCTGGTATGTGAGGAACCATGACCAGCCATACTGCCTGGCACAGAGAATATTGGGAACCTCCAGCTCGGGATCAGCAGGGCCCAGGAGGAAGAGCAGGCTCTGCAGTGGGGCTGGAAGCCAGCCCAGAGCTTCCTCACTCAGACCTGGACGAGCAAGGCCGCAGGGAGAGTTGTTTCCAAAGAACATAACAGGCAGGAACCCAGGCATTCCGACCCTGGTGAGGACAGCTAGGTCCAAGTGTCCACTCTACAGCTGGGAGCCGCTTGGTTCGGGACAGTGACCTCACCGTGACGCAGCGGAAGGGCTCCCACAGCATCCAATCCAGTTCCAGCAGTGAGATTTGACCACCTCTGGTTGCAAGCAAGCCCATTAACACGCACCCTTTGCTAACTTCTGGCTCCCTCGGGTCCCACGACGGGAACAGTCAGAGGGAGAGCCCCTCTGGGCCTGGTACCATATGGCTTTGAGACCCTAAGGGGGGGCTGGGGGAGTGGTGGAACAGGTGCCTGTCACCTCTCATAGGGCATTCCAGGTCCCAGCCAGAGGCTGCGGGCCACCCACCTACCACTTCTGGGTCATGTTGTCATCTGAGTCACCTCTAGGTGGTCAACTGCCTTGGCAACCCCAGTACCACTCTTGACTCATCTAGTCACCTGCCTGTCCCACCCATGTCCTGCCTATGGTTAAAGGCGATGCTTCCTTCCCTCTCCACTTCCTGCCATCCACCCTTGGCCACCTCCTCACTGTGTGCCAGCACCGGGGCTGCCGGCTGACCGCCTCCTTCCAGCTATTTTTAAATGTGTCTGCAGAGGCCCTCCCTTCCTGTAGGTCCCCCGGGAGCTCCAGCCCAGCTGGGCGCTGTCTCCACAGGCCCCTCCTCACCCGTGCCCCCTCCTGCCCTGCATTCCTGAGCTCCTGGTCCTCGGGGCACCCGCACACCAACCCACTGGCTAGGATGTAACCTTGACTTTCCTGAGTTCATCTCTAAGATGGGATGTCATCTGTGTGTCACGCGTTCACCTGAGAACCCACTGAGCCGACGTTTCAGAGGGGAGCTGGCATGCTTCCCTCTTCCTCGGCTCCTGAGACTGTGCTCTGTTCCACGAACCAAGGGACCCTCCCCCTCCCCAGCCTGAGGTCCAAACCACCCAGTCAAGTGCTAGTCATGCCAGGCCAGAGCAAATCCAGTCACAGCTGCCAACTGAAGTGGGGTGGGCAAACTGATTCTCTACAGGACCTCACAGTGACTGTTACTTTGCGGAAATACGGAAACAGATGGGCATGGCTGGATTCCAATAAAACTGTCAAAGCAGGCAGTGGGCTACTTTGGCGGGCACCCCCCTCCCTCCCCCGTTCTGGTGGTGTAGATGGTTAAGCTAATTCAGTGGTGAAAGGGCGGAGGTTCAAATCCACCTGTCATGCTGCAGGAGAAAGATGACGCTGTCTGAGTCTCGGAAACGCTAAGGAGCAGCCCTCCTCGGCCCATAGGGTGGCTCGCCATGAGTGGTTGGACTCAACCAGAGGATGGCGCATTGGGTCCGTGGGAATGGACCTTGGGGAGGGGCTACATCCCTCACAGGTACCCAGCAACAGTGATTCTCATCTGGGAACAGTTCCTGCTCCCCACCAGTCCAAGGCGGGCATTCCGGGGCAGGGGCCTTCAGGGAATGGCACCACAGGGTTTGGGAAGCTGTCGTCTTTCCAGAAGCAGGCTACCGCATCTCCTCTCTTGGAGCAGCTGCTGACTTTGAACTGATGGCCTTTCAGTTAGCAGCCCCTTGCTTAACCCACTGTGTCACCACGGCTCCTAGCCACACACAGGACCGCTATGCTTAGTGGTTAGAGGGAGATGACCAGGGGTGGGAGAGCCTACTAGCAGATTTTGACAGGTGAAGGTCAAAATCTGGTCAGGCGACACAGCCAGTCCCCCAGGTGTGCGTGTGCGCGTGTAAGTGGTGGAGGCGTACGGGGCTGAGAGTAAGAGCCGGCCTCCAGAGTGCTCATCCTATTTGCCCTGAATCCTAACGCTAGAGCCGGAGGTCGGCCCATGAGCAGGAAGAGATACTCAGACAGCGGCTCCAGGTAGATGAAGGCTGACATACCTGCCTTTTGTCAGGTAGGGGGCACTGAATGGGCCGTGGGACACTGAGTCTATAGCTGAGGATGCCCATGGGGCACTGGTCTGGCCTGCACATGGTGTTTGAAGATGAGCCTGTCCTTTAGGACACACACTGGAGAGCCCCTTCTCACACCCTGGGAGGCTGGGGGTGGGGAGCAGAGAGGGGCAACAGTGGAAGGAAGCAAGAATCACAGGTGCTCAGAGCCACGCACGGGAACAGATAATTGCACCTCAAGCACAGTGACCCCCATGCTCACGGACTCAGTGGACCCTGGAGAGGAGCACCGAGGGCGGCGCACGCTCACAGACACGCTCATTCTCACGCTTCACACTCCTGAGTCCCGGATTTCAATCACCTGCAGCAGTTCCCTTTGGGGAGGGGTGAAAGAGACACCGTGGCATCAGGGACAGCCCCCACCCCGAGCACGTGGTCAGAGAGAGGTCACGAGGAAAAGTGATGTTAGAGAATGAGAGACCCTCCTGAGGCCCCAAACCAAATGAAACCCACGGCCATGGAGTTCATTCTGGCAGCAATCCTACACCGCACTTCCAAGGCTGTCGATCTTTACGGGAACAGACAGCCTCCTCTTTCTCCTGCAAAGCGGCTGGTGAGCTTGAACCTCCAACCCTGCAGCTAGGAGTCCCATGCTTACTCGACAGCAGCACCACGGGGCTAAAAAGGGTTCAGGGGAGCTGGATGGCGTGGGGATGAGTTGGGAATGGCGATCCCAGACTGACATCCTTCTTGCATGTAAGTGGTGATGGCAGAGTCCACGCCTACCCCTTCCCTACACCCCCCCCCCACCCAATGCAGAGGTAAAACACAAAGGGAGCAATTGCTCCTCGGGGGTCTCGAGCTCGGAACTTGGGTCGAACACAAGGCCCTGCACACATGGATGCTCGATGCGGCATCAGAGGCAGAGCCCCAGAGACCCACGTCGTGCCATGCAGATTCACATCGCATCACCCTCGGAGAACACCAGGCAGCCCC